AGAGCCCAAGGGCCAAAAGGTAAGGAAGGTCAGAGAGGTATGATGGAGGGGGTCCCAGGAGCGGTCAGACACTTCAGTTTCACATGGATGCTCTTGAAGTGTTGGGGGCTCCTTTTCTTGGGGCCTTGTTCTTCGAGGGGACTCAATGTCCACTCAGCTCCTTGTATCTTCAGCTACTAATAATTTTAAGTTTTCTAGTAACTGAGATCGCAAACCTCATTGAGAGAGGTTTTGGATTACAGACCAATGTGTCACACATTGTCAACTTCGTGGAAAACCAGAGGAGACAGTTTAAGGGAATCTGAAAACAGAATAGTCACAAAAGCAACCCAACAGCTGCTCAGTAGATGCTGAGATGAGCCCATGAGAGAATGTACTATGGTATGTCATAATGGTTGGGATACCAACAAGAGAGTTCTATCTTAAGGACCATTGGCTTACTGACATTGTGTTTGCCAAACAGGCAGTGAACATCTGCTTACTCCAAATAAAATTCCTCTTTAACATTTCCTTTATATTTTATCCCTTGAGAAATTCCTTTGGGTTATATCTTGTTTGGCCCATTAATTCCATAGTGCCAGTTTGGAAGGGAGGAGGCCTTACAAATTAATGCCTTAATACATTATATTGTGATAAAATGGTTTTCCAACTTAGCATACAACCCTGAGTCCCTCTTTCTTTTTTTTTTAAATAAGTTTTTTATTGTGAAAATACTGTAGGGGTTACAATACATGAGCAAGGTAATGAGTACATTTCTTATCAAGCATTGTTGCCTCCTCCTTTGTTTTCCCCTACCATCCCTTCCCTCCAATCTCCACAACTACACTCCCTCCCACCCCCCCCCCCCCCACCTAAATTGTAAAGTTCCTTTTTTGACATAGTGTCTCATTTTTGCAATGTATCCCTATTTAAACAATTTTTTCCCTTTCCCTCCCCAAATTATACCAACATCAAATACAGTGAAAACAGGGGTTATACCATAGGGGAGGGACATGCAAAGATCAAAAAAATCACATGATACCTTATAAATACGTTAGAAACAATAGCAAGAAAGAAAAAACCACTTGTGTCCTTATCTTGGGGTTCATTTTGCTAACATCTTATCTCTGAGTCCCTCTTTTGCATATGATAAACATTCAAAAGTATGTAGTGGGAGCTGGGTACTCATGCCTATAATCCTAGCTAATTAGGAGGCCAAAAGATCTGAGGATTGTACTGTAGTTCAAAGCCAGTTTAGGCTGGAAGTCTGTGAGATTCTTATTTCCAACTAATGAACAAAAAGCCAGAAGTGGAGCTGTGGCTCAACTGGCCACAGTGCTAGCCTTCAGTGAAAAATCTAAGAGACAGCGCCTAAGCCCCAAATTCAAACCCCAGTACCAGTACACATACATACAATAGTATGTGGTCAGTAAATTTTGCTAAAAATGTACTTGCATTGGGATGGATCTCTCTCTCTCTCTCTCTCTCTCTCTCTCTCTCTCTCTCTCTCTCTCTCTCTCTCTCCCCCCCCCCCCCCCAAGATAAGAAAGGTAAATATGCCCAGGGGCTTTTGATAAAGATACTAGGTACTAGGTTTTGTCTTCTTTATGTTTCTGCAATTGTCAAAACAAACCAAACTACTCTCAGAGACTCTACTCCAGGATCACCATCAAAATATTTTACAATTTGGCCAAATGTTGTTAGAGCAGCTGTGCTACTAGTCTGCCTGAATCATTTTCTTTCTTTCCTTGTAGCCCAATCCTGTGATTCATCATTCTGCTTTTAGAATATTTGCCTATTTTTAACACCAGTCAAAGAAGGCAGTACTATTTAAAAGCAAACACCCCACACGTCAGTGTGGGGCAGATTTGTGAGCAGCTTTGCAAGCCTTGAAATTTCTGGCAGGCAGGTCTGCCAGCTAAACCAGATGGCAGGCAGCAAGCAGGGAGTTGCAGGGCTGGCTCTCAGACTCAGTCTCCTTACATCTGCCTTTGGTTTTCTTGTTTTCACGACCATTTCCTGTTTTGGTTAATCCAATTTAATCCATTCTTTAACAGTCTTGCTTTCATTTTGCTTGTCTAGAAAAGATTCATTATGTGCTTATTTTTATGTCAATCAATTCAACTTTCATTTCAACTCTTACATTCAACTGTTATTTCTGATAGTCCAATGTAGTTAAGCCTTCATTTATCTGTAAAAGTATCATTATGATCCCATATATATATATATATATATATATATATAGAGAGAGAGAGAGAGAGAGAGAGAGAGACAGACAGACAGACAGACAGATAGATAGATAGATAGATAGATAGATAGATAGATAGATAGATAGATGCATATATATCTATGCATGGTATATCTATCAACATTGTAACTATAAGTAATGATGGAGATTACTATGCTGAACCCATTAATTCTGGGACATACTAGGGATTTGCTATTTACATTACTATAGGAAAGTCAATGGGCAAACAACATCATAGAGGATCTGGTGGATTAAGTGTCAGGAAGCATTGAGCTCCATTCCTGAGTATCTTGTTGAATTCTAGAACACCCTGTCTGTGAGGCATTTTACGGAAGTGGTTTGGCCTTCCAACAAGTGCTTACTCGTCTATGATTACTAGGGTTGGGATGCCAAACTATAATATGTTCCTCTTTACCTGTGCCAAATTCCTTTGGCCTTGGCCTGAAGAGCCTAAAATAATCATGGTGTCTAGGTTTTTGAAATTGTACCGAAGTAAACGAAATGCACCAGTTTTACAAAGTACAGTAATAAATCTCAACAATGAAGGCATACTGTGTAATGGGCCTGGTACTGACAGTGGATATTTCTGTCTTTTGTTCAGTTCTTTGCAAGTGATGGAGTGGTTTTGAAGAGTCACAGTCATTGGCTAGATTTCTTTTTCTTTGCTTCTGAGTAAGAAAAGAGCATTCAAAGAGCCTGAAATGAACCTTCTGTGAAGTTCAGTTAAGCAATGTCAGCAAGCCCATGGGTATCCATTGAGAAGCACAGGTGCAGGTCCAGAATGGATTCAGCTTTGTGACCTATTGCCGTTATTTTAAGCCACTTTTAGATGAGAGTATTATTATATGTGCTGGACTAAAATATACCAAATGCTATTAACTGACAATCCCCTTGAGGTGTTTGGCAGAGGTTAATACCATCCTTGTGTTGTTAAATCTCTCTGGTGATTATCTTCAAAGAGATGTAATTCCTTAGAAGACCAGAATGCCTTGGGTACCACATTTTATTTTCAACTGTGCTGTCAGTAAGATAAGAGTGAATACAGTTGGCCCTCCATATTTGTGAGTTCTGCATCTTCAGATTCATCCATATGAAAGACATTTTTAAAAAAGCAACTGTGTCTGTATTGAACTTGAGCAGGTTTTCTTTTCATTTTCCTCCTAAAGTATACAGTACAACAGCTTACATCAGCAATTTCATTGGGTAGGTGTTGGAAGTAACTTAGAGGTGATTTTAAGTCATATGGGGGGGGGAGGGGCGGCTGCGATTACGTTACATGCAAATACTTCATTTTACATAAGGAACTGAGTATCCTCAGATTTTGGTGGAGGAGTCCTAGAACCAAGCCTCCTCGGATGGGAAAAATGACTCTACTTGTTTCTTCACTGTGTACAGCCTGAATCATTTCCTGTAGTTAAAAAAGAACATCAGTCCATTTTATCAGTAAATTCAATTATGTTCATGATACTATAAAAGCAATGACCTTTCCTTGCTTAATTACAATTTAAAGTGGCTTTTTTTTTTTTTGGCCAGCGCTCAAGTGGTACTGAGGAATCGAACTCAGGGCTTCAAGCATGCAAGGCAAGCACTCTACCACTGAGCCACCTTCCCAGTCCCTAAAATGGCTTTTGTTTTTAAATTATTCTCGGAGTATGGGTTATGTTGTATTCTTATAGTCATGTATTGGGGTAGGAATTGGAAATAAATAGACAAAGGTCCCTCAGAGCCAGTTATCCTGGAGAGACAGAGGTTCTGCCCATCTGCTCGTTGGCTTCAGGGCCGAGTGAACAATCTATATGTCAACAAACTATACTGAAGAGAGCTGGAGGTGGCTTGGATATTTCAAGCCAATTTTTTGTCAAGTTTCCTCAGATGCTACCGAGAATGCATTGTGTTTGTGTGTGTGTGTGCGGCGCGCGTGCTCACGTGCGTGCATATGTATGCATTGGTACTTGGACTTAATATAAGGTCTCATACTCTTGCTTGGCTTTTTATGCTCAAGGCTGGTGCTCTACCACTTGAGTAGGCCTCTGTTTCCAAGGATGTATCTTTTGATTTAGAGAGAGTTAAGTACCTGTTGAGAACCACACTCGGATCTGTGGACACTCAGATCTGCCACAGCTATTGGGGCTCAGGGTCTCCTTCAACAGAGACAGGTTCTGCTGCAGGTTGGAACTGCTGCCTGGTATACCAGGAAGAAATACCCTGTTTGAGTTGTTTCCTGCTACCCAGTGGAACCCAGAATGAGTTCCTGGTCTATTGCCTGTTATTGGTTTGTTGTGGTAAGAGCAGACAGCAAGAGCATTAACACTTCAGCACTTGCAGGCATTCAGAGCGGAATGCTTGTGTTCACTACTGTGTTCTTCTGCTCCATTGAACTTGTTCTGGCTACCTGACTAACACCTTGTTTAAAGCATTATACTGTGTGTCATAATTTTTGGTTTTGGTCAATGTGAGTATATTAAGTAGCTTTTAATTGGAGATTTAGTAGATTGGACATGTGAAGATTCCAGTATACATACACATAAAATATACATATAAATTTTGCCCTAAGTTTGGTCAGGCTATGTAACCCATATCTTTGTGAATATAGAAAACAAGTCAAATTTTCTTCTACATTCTGTCTTTCCCCAAATGAAGTAATGAAAATGACTTCAGCACCAGATACTGATCGCTTAACCGCATTGGTACAAACCTGGTCCCTGCAAAGAGGCTCTTATAAGACAAAAACAAACAAACGAAAAAGCCAACTTTTATTATGTTCTTGTTTTAGATGATCCACCTCCTGAAGACTCCATTCCTTTGGTCTTTCCAGAATTAGACCAGCAGCTGCAGGTAAGGAGGGCGTGCAAGGTTGATTTCCTCCATATTATCTCAGAGAGTTGCCAAAGAGGGGAGACTGAGCTGGATGCCGAGTGGGGTACATTGTGTACTTCTAGAACTTTAGAGTCAGGCTGAAGTCCTCATGGGTTCTTCTGGTTATCTGGCTGTGTCGCCAGGACTTCCAAACCTTCTAGTGTAGCACGGCTCCTATTTTTTGTTTTTCCCCATTTCTCTTACTGTGTTGTGAGCATTGCTGTTGCATAGGTTCCTTTGTCCTTTGTCTCATCATTTTGTTGTTCCCCTTCCCTTCCCTAGTTCAGATCAACGTATACACAATGCCCAGGGTACAAAATCAAATACAGTGACAACAGGGAATGAACCATAGGGGGAAAAGAAAAGAAAGAAAAAAATCATGTAGTACATTGAGAATAACAACAACAAGCAAAAACATCTTGTGTGCATGTCTCGGAGCTCATTTCACTCAGCATCATCTTATATGGTCATATGTACATAGCTATTGAGCTATTCTGCTCATCTGCTAAGATTATCCTAGATGCATATTAAATATTACAAATAAGGGAAGCCATGGGACCTATGTTCTTTGGGTCTGGCTTACTTTACTTAATATCATTTTTTTCCAAGTCCTTGAAACTCTAGGGCTCCTTGGCAAAGGCTGAAATTTTCTTAATAAAGACCCAGAAATACAACATATTAAAGAAAGGTTGGACAAATGGGATTGCATGAAACTGCAGAGCTTCTGTATGGCAAAGGATGTAGCTAGCAAGATCAGTAGAAAGCCCACAGATTGGGAGAAGATCTTCACTAGCCATACAACAGACAAGGCTTTCATATCTAAAATATACTTAGAACTCAATAAATTAACCCCTCCCCAACAGCTCCTCTTTTTAAGGAGTTCTAGAGCCTGGGAAAAGGACTGCTGGGAAAAGGCTGTGGCTGCCTCCAAGCCTTCTGGAATTTTGGCTTTGATTGGATTAATGATTTAACAATAAATTCCACAGAGAGAATTTCTTGTGTTTTTTTTCCAAGACTTGGGAATCATCCTCTGATCTCCACTGCCTGTCTGCCTCTTGTCATCTAACAGATTTTAATTACAGATAATTATTGTGCATTAAATGGTTGGGTTGACCTGTGAGAAAAATAGCTGTATACATAGTTGTAGATGATCTAGCAATGATAGCTCAGTTGAACACACCAATTATTGTTACTTTTTCAGAAAAGGGCTAATTTCTGCCATTTTAATTTGCTGTAGGGGACATATGGTAATTCTAGGCAAAGAAAATAATTCTGCCTAAAGTACCTGGAGGCTGATCTTGGGTCAGCCATTTACTTGAGTTCTTTATTTTTTTCTTCTTCTTTTTTTTGTCTGAGACTGGAACTTGAACTTTGCTCATTGGCTGCTGCTCTCCCAACTGAGCCACTCCTCACTTGAGTTATTCACGTAACTTTACAGTCCAGTTTGACAAGTTTCATAGTGATCTTGAGTCCTTTACTCATTTATTTTGCTTGATCACCACATCATTCTCTCCAAATGCTGATTTTGAAAGCCTTTAGGAGAGGTGAGCAATCTCTTTATCCAAAATAACCAAAACCCTTTACCAAAAATAACCCTTATCCTAAATGTGTAGATCTCAAGATGTTTTTGGATTTGGACTATTTGCTTATACATAATGAGATGGCTCAAGGATGAGACCTCTTTCTAAACATAAACTATGTTTCATCTAGTTTTAAGCACACAGCCTGAAGGTTAAATTTTTTTTTTAATTGCACCTGTGTTTTGACTGGGAGCCATCCTAGCGTTTTGTGGAAAAAAATCTTTCATTGCGATATATCAGCACTCAAAAAGTTTTGGAGCATTTTGGAATTTGTCTGTTCAGGTTGGGGCTGTTCTCACTGTATCCTATACCTAGTAGCCCTTTCTGGTTTTGAGTATGCTCCTTTCTGGTTGCTTTTGCTCTTACATCCTCTGGGTTAAAAGTCTAGAAGCAATTCTAGCTACCCAGAAGGTAGAGATCTGGATGATCAAAGTTTGATGCTAGACCAGAAAAAAAAGTTAATGTGACCCCCATCTCAACAAAACAAGTCAAGTGTGGTACTCCCAGTCACAGGGGATGCTTAGGTAGGAGTATCAAGGTTAAAAGGCAGCCCTGGGCAAATGTGCAAGACTCTATCTGAAAAATAACCAAAGCAAAGAAGGACTTAGGGCATGGTTCAAGTGGTAGGGTGCCTGCCTCGGAAGCACGAGTCTGAGTTCAAAGCCCAGTGCTGCCAGTGAAATGAAATGAAATAACCTGGTAGCAATAAGGAGAAGTTGGAAGAGCTGGTGCTCCATTGCTGGAGTGACCCTTTAAAACCAACCCAGAGCAACCCAAGTGTGACCTGGACTCTTGGTAGCGCTCTCATTTCTGGGGCAGTTGTGAGCTTTTCCAACAGGAAGCTAACTCAACAGAGCACTCTCAGTTGTGCAGGTATTATGGAAGGTGCACCAAAGGTGAGAGGGTTATGCGATTACCACTCAACTGTCAAAAGACAGTTTTGTAATCCCCAACAATTTCCTCTCCAGCAGTCAGTCACTGTATTTCCCTCTTCCCATATTCTCTAGGTAGAGTCTTCCACCCAGCTCTGCTGATTCCTGACATCTGAAAAAGCCACCTCTCTTTCTGCCTCCTCTTTTGATATACTCACCGTTTGCCATATTCCTTGCTTTGGCTCTGTCCTTACAGCTGGGTGGGGGGAGGGGAGGAGACGGTGTGGATGCAGGGAGTTGCCATATTGTCATGTCCTGTTACTGATGTGACTGGGATATAAAATAATAACTAGCCACGTGCTGGTGGCTCACATCTGTAATCCTAGCTACTCAGGAGGCTGAGATCTGAGGATTGTGGTTCAAAGATGGGCAGGAAGGTATGTGAGACTCTATTTTTTTTTTTTTTTATTTTGTATGTGAGACTCTTATCTCCAATAAACGACTTAGAAACAGCTGCTGGCACTGTTGCTCAAACTGGTAGAATGCTAGCCTTGAGAAAAAGAAGCTCAGGGACAGCACCCAGGCCTTGAGTTTAAGCCCTAGGACCAGCACACACACACACATACACACACACGCACGCACGCACCACGCACGCACGCAAAACCTACGATAACCATTTCCCCTCCTGTAACCATTTTCCTCTTTTTTGTGTTGTTACCCCTCAAAGCAATTTTACTCTCATAGTCAGGTGAAAACAAGGAGTGAACATGTTTGAAAACAAAACAGAAAATATATGCTGGTTCTTGTTCCCCCCTCAAATTATGAATAATACATTTTACTCTTTCTTTTGTATTGGAAAAACCCCACTTTTAAAATTAGGAGCTTTACTGGTCTTCCCAGGCTTGTGGACCATTCTGCACAAAATTCATAGGACCCCTGACAGTTACTTAGATGATTTTTCTGTGAAAACATCACTAGGTCCATTTAAATTTTATAGCTTTAATTCTACTTGACATGTATTAGGAATTAGATCTATTTAATTATTTTACTCCAGTGAGACCAGTTCATCTTCTTTAATCTTTAATGAGGTAGGCATTTGAAAGAGTAGTTTCTGGCTCAAGGGTTTTGATGTTTCCCTCTTCAAATATATTACTTTGCCTCTTTCCAACATAGAGAATGTTATCAGAATTGCATTTAAACATGTTTTAAAAAGTGCTTGTTTATTGTATGAAGAGCATGATTGAATTTGCTATGAACATTTATTGCTGAGTGCTACCCCTGTTTGTAGTTGATGCCTGTAAGCTTTAGTGTACACCCAGGGTATGAAGGATTGATGAAGGACAGTAAGGATCAAGAAGAGAGAACAGCATCTAAAAGCATATCCTTGTCTCCATGCTTAGCACAGAATAGTTTTTTTTTTTTTTTTTATAAAACAATTCTACAACAGTAAATCTGTCTCAAAAGCAAAGAAAATGCTTTATGTGAACCATCCATTTACAGAATGCACCTTCCTAATAGGCAGATTCAGGGCCTTTGTTGCACATATTGGTTCTTAGAGGTTTTTAACCAACTATCTCAATCCCAGTCCACTACGGGAGAATAACTCGTCTACAAAGCAAAGAGTCTGTGCCTGTCACTATTTGAGGAGGACTGGTTGTTTCTTTTTTTTGGGGGGGGGGTCTGGTTGTGGGGCCTGAACTCTGGGCCTGTGTGTTGTCCCTCAGCTCTTCAGCTCAAGGCTAGCACTCTACCACTTGAGCCACAGCGCCACTTCCGGCTTTTTTTTTCTGCTTATGTGGTATTGAGGAATCGAACCCATGGCATCAGGCATGCAAGGCAAGCGCTCTACCACTGAGCCACCTTCCCAGCCCACTGGTTGTTTCTTGATTACCTCTATTGGAGCTATAAAAACTGGCTTAGGGAAAAAAAACCAGTACCAGGTGGTTATTGTCAGTCTTTGCAAACCTTCAGATTCCACCAAGGCTTACAGAGTACCTCTTAGTATAGAATACCTGTTAGGCATGAGATGTTTTTCTATATATAATCTTATTTGTTCTTTACAACAACGATATGTTAACTATTAGATCTCTACTTTCCAAATGAGAAACTTGAAGTCAAAGTTTAATCTCCATGAATTTTCTTTCTTCCTATAGTTTCCTTAACTCTTTTTGTCGAATATATGAGCTATCTAAATTCCTTCAATAAGTAGTGGTTTTTTTGTTTCTCATGCGCAAATGTTCAAAACCACCTTGCAAAACTTGTTCAGACTTTCTGAGCCTAGTTGCACATTCTTTGGTAATTTATAAAGTGAAGGTATAAAATATCTATTTGGTGGATACTCTATCACCACTTTGACCCCCAAGATTTTTCAGTTGCTTTGCCAAGAATGTGAACATGTTGGAGCATGTAATTTGTGGTGCTTCTATTTTAGCAGAAGCCAGAAAAAGCCTTGGGCAAGAATAGCAGTGACAAACATTACTCTTGATGTCTCTATCAGTGCAAAATGTTTGGTGAGAGACCTCAGGGT